TGTGGAATCGACAGTAAGTTCGGGAGGGAGAAAGCTGTGCGCCAGCAGCCAGCACAGGGAAAAACGGGGGGAAGCTCACGTGAGCTTCCTCTGCTCAGCCTGGAGCTCACACATGGTCCTCCGTCACAGGGAAGGCCGGCCGCTGGGTGCCTGGGTGTGTTATTTTTAGCTCTGCGCTGGGATCCATTAGCTGCAGCCGTGCCCCGGAGGTCAGACGGGCTGCGCTGGAAATCAGTAAATGAACTTCCTTTAGTGCTGCTCTAAGTCCCAGCAGCCCTACCCCGTCGTGGGTGGTGCCCAGTCCTGCGGCCTCAGGAGCTTGCAGGAAAAGCATGTGCAGGGCTTCGGACCAGGTAGGGGCCACCCAGGAAGACAGGGTGGGTGTGTCCCGGTGTCAGGATGGGGGTGTGCATAGAGCACTGAACAAAACGAGGTACACAGTCAACAGCGGGCTCTGGCAGCCAATATTTGTCCTGCCGACTGGCCCAAATGTCCCCTCCTTAGAGACCACTCCATCCACAGTCACCCTCAGCCCCGGGCCACGCCCTAGCACTGACTTTCCTCTGAGGCCCTCCTCCCCACCTGTAATGCCCTCACCTGCCTGTGTGGTCTGCCGCCTCCATCATGAGAAGGCCAGCGCATCCTCACCCAGCTCTGTGGACTCAAGGCTCCATGTTGCTTTGTCAACAGCCGGGGGCGTTACCAACTCCAAGTTCATTTCCCCAGGCAACTTTTACTTTGAATACGTGTATTTCCCTAAAGACGCCGGTTACATTCCTGGACATACCAGTGATGGGGCTCCAGGTCACACCCATTGAAGAGCAGCTAAGGGTAGGTACGGATATAACTGCGATGAACCTTGTTTCTGGGTTTTTCGTAGGACGTCTTACCCATCTAGAAAAGTCATCAGTGCTGGGGGTGTCCTTTCAAAGGGTGACACTTATCAAGGGTGCTGGCTTTTCGGGGTATTGCTAATCAGTCATAAAGGCCGATGATTGTCAAGGACCGGGTATGTGTCTGCGATTGGGGGGCTAGGCGGGGAGGACAGGCTCCAGAGCCAAGCTAAGTGGCCCCCCCGCTCTGCCTCTTAGCCAGTTACATTTCAGCCACAAGAAAGTGGGGTGACTGTCCAGCCAGCATCAGAGCAGAGTTCCCTCAGAGCAGTGATTCTCAGTGGGGGCGACTTTTCCTACATGGGGACATTGAGTAATGTCTGGAGACATTTTTGGCTGTCGTCCCTCAGAGGGCTATAGGCATCTGGTGGGTAGAACCGAGAAATGCTTCTAAACACCCCACACCGCACAGGATAGCCCGCCCAACAGAGAATTATCTGGCTTAGAATATCGGTAGTGCCGAGGCTGCAAAAGCCTGCCTTAGCGTTTAGGCATGTGCTGCCCGAGACAGCAGCCACCCACCCGCCACGTGTGGCGAGCAAGCTTTGCAGCGGGGCTGGAACCGGGCTGCTTTCAGTCGGAAGCACACAGGATCCGAAAGGCCGAGGGGCAAAAACATGAAATGTCTGTCGCATTAATAATCCTAATATTGGTTACTTGCTAAATGACAGTACTTCAATGTAATAGGTTAAACACAATGCATTCTGTGAATTAGATCCTCCCGTGTCTTTTTACTTCTTAGAATATGACTGCTGGAGGGTTTCAACTTCTGCGTATGGCTCACCTTGTGTGTCTGTTGGACAGTGTGGTTTAGACAGACCTTCACTCCTCTCACAGGCTTCCTGGGTCTTCTGGAAATCACTTTGGGCTCAGGGCCACCATTAGCCCATCAATCACATCGGGGTGAGTTAGGAAAAAGCGTCCCTTCTTTGAGACACTGCCTCCAACAGTCAGAAAATGGTGGCAGTAGCCTGATGGTGTGGGGACACATTACTGCCACCTACTGGAAGGTTGTGGAAATACTGTAGACACTGTGACTGTCCCCCGGTGATGGAGGCACCGGGTGCAGTAGACAGTCTGTGACACTGGGCTGCCCCTGGTCTGCGCTGGGGGGTGGTGTTGGCAGGAAGGCGTTTTCCACCCAGTTGTCCCCTCAACAGTTTGTAAGCTTCACGGAGTTTTGAACACCAGAGAAGAGACAGGCTGCTGTCAGACGCCATTTGAGCAGGGGGGAGAAAAACCCCACCATTTACCTAGAGGCTTTCTTTTGGAACTTTGTGTTTTTTTCTGAGTGTGCTTCTGGGATTACAAAATATATAGAGAAAGACCCACTGCTTTCTTGCTGACTTGGAAAAGCCCTCACGCAGTCTGACTCCTTGAGCAAGTGTGGTGGGTCCATTATCATGGCAAAGGCTTGTGGGAAAGACCAAGAATTAGGGACCTCCCTTCAGGAAACTCAGACCGAGAGCAGTGAGTTCTTCAGGCAAACCTTCTCTCGGGAGGCAAGACGGTAACTATGAGACTCGCCGGCCACACGGTCTGTCGCAACTACTCGGCTCTGCCTCAGTAACACACAGGCAGCCACAGACAGTGTGGGAACAGGTCTGAGTCATTGTGTTCCCAAAAAACTTTATCTACACTCCAGAGGGTGGCAGGAATTTGGCGCATGGCTCATAGTTTGTCTTATAGAACAGTGGTTTCAACAGCTGCCCCACAGGCTAGACCCACATCGCAGGCGAATTTGATTGTTAATTTTTTGCCCATTTAAAAAAAATGTATCATTGGTTGCCATCACTGAGAAACAAAGGGACTTTCACATAAAATCCAAATTTTCAGTTTCTCTCGAAGAAATCATGATACTAAACTCACTGATGAAGATCGGCTGCCCTACTAGAACAAGGTGTGTCTGATTTATCACCTCACTCAGGTAAACTGCCAGCTTAGCTACTGCAGGTATGTGGGGCTAGACCCAGGCTCCACAGCACACTTGACGGAAGCTAGGATGCACGATACCAAAATAAAGAGAAGGCCATGGACAACGTGAGCGAGTGGACCGCAAGTGTGGGGTACAAGCCAACTGCTGGAACCTCTTATTTCATGGGGCTGAATTCTCTTATGAATGGGGTGCCCAAGTGACAGTCCCGCCAGATCACTCCAGATGTTAACGGCGTCACTTACCTTGATGACGTCCTCATCCGTCGACTTGCACTCCACAGACTCTGAGATGTCGGTCACGGCCCCGTTCTCCTCCACAGAGACGACCTTGACGGGTAAAGCAACCGTCTTCCCTGTGAGTATGGCGGTGTTCAGGATTTCCAGGTCCTGCCGGAAGAACCGGACATAGCTGGTCAAGGGAGCTTTCCCGTCAGGCACCAGGGGCAACCTCCCCAGCTGTATGCCAGCCTGTCTTTGTTTAGCTAAGACACCATAGCACTTATCTTAGGAACTTGGGCAAAAGGGCCATTCTTTGGGGCAAGTTCCCAAGAATGTCAAACCATTTGCTTTCAGTGTGTTTATGACCATCTTCCAAGCTTCCAACAACAATAAAAAAAATGTTTATTTTTTTTCTCTGTTGCAGAGACCCAGGAGAAGTTACACATCAGTTAGGCTCTGCTTGTGAGCAACAGAAAGTGTAATAATACTGGCCAGTCGGAGGAAGAAGACGCTGTGCTAGGAGGAGTAATGCATCTCCCCCAAGGTACCCGTGTTCGAATCCCCAGAACCTGTGAATCTGTTCCCTGACATGGGAAGAAGGACTCAGCAGTGATGAAGTTAAGGACCGTGACATGCAGAGATTATCCTGAATTAGCTGGGTGTCCCAATGGAGCCATAAGAGTCCTTAGACGACGCAGCCACGAGGCTCAGAGGAAAAGGGGTGATGGAGGCGGGGTGACGGAGGCGGGGTCAGAGTGATACCACCCTGAGCCGAGAGAAGCGGGAGACGGAAAGATGTCCCCCAGCGCCTGCAGAAGGAACGCAGTCCTGCTGGACCTTAATTTTAGCCCCGTCAGACTCATTTCTGCCTTCTGCCTTCCGGAACTGTGATATAATAAGTTGGTGTTAATTTGTTACAGCAGAAACAGGAAACGAATGTGTGTTCTTATTGGCTGGGTCCTGGCTCACGCACAGGAACAAAGGAGACGCTGAAGGAGGCTTTGGAACGGCGGGGCCCAGGCCGGCTTCTACAACACTGAAAACAGGGAAGAGTAGGCCATCTCTCCAGAGGGAAGTGGAATGGATGGCTTCAGCCGTTCCTGTCCCCAAGCCACTCTGGAGAGAGACTGCTGGGTCTCACCTGGCTGAAGTGTCCATCCCTTACCCAGGGAGGTGGGGCCACTTTGACTGACAGGACTGCGAGACTGAGCCCCAGGGGAGAAAGGCAGACGACAGAATAACCAATTCCCATCAGGCAAACAGCAGCAGCAGCAGCAGACATCCAATACGAGACCAGTGCATCGGGTACGTTTCATCCCCGAAGGCCCAAGGTCACTCCACCTTGGTGATGGACACCAGACCACTGGGGCTTCATTTTTGTCTGCAGACTTCTAAGCAAAGCGAACTGCCCTCCCTCTGGGGCCCAGGGGAGCCCACGCCATTGCAGTTATGGGGACCTGGGCTTGTCCTGTTCACATTGGCTTCATGCCAAGTGTCATGTCTCACTCATGTTGTGATTTGCAGAGTGATGGTGGAAATGCCTTCTCTTTTCTGTCTGCAGGCTCTATCTGCCTGCACTTTTGAACTCTTTCTCCCTTTATGGCCGGATGAAGATGAAAGAGGGGCCCCGGCTTCGGAGCATCTCCGGGCACCTTTTTTTTTTTTTTTTTTTTTTTCCCAGGGAAGCAATTGGCACAGAAATGACCT